TTTTTCTTTTTCCCTTTTTCTTTCTTTCTTCCTTCCTTCCTTCCTCATACCACATACACAAAAGAGAGAGAGAGAGAGAGAGAGAGAGAGAGAGAAATCATTTCTCCATCGCACACGCGTAGTTCACCTACATAGTGAAGCCCCAACCGAACGATGGCAAGCAAAGCTTTCGATATGCAGTACGAAGAAGACCATGTGTCAAGCTTTCTCTCTCTTTCCTCTCTTTCTCTCTTTCCTCTCTTTCTCTCTTTCCTCTTTCCTCTCCTCCAGAAGCTGAGAATCCCAGCCCCGTCACGATCCATTTCCTAAGTAGTGCTTGAGAAACTACCGGTACTCCTGCTGCTGGCTTAGGGGGTGGGACCGTGTTTCATTCGCGGTTTGAGTGGGACGGTTTATTTCACGTCGTGTTATCTATCAGGCATGGTAGGGGGAGAGAGAGGGAGAGAGAGAGGAGGAGGGAGGACCAGGAGATAGATTCCAAGACTGTATACATCACGTTCGTGGCCTGGTAGATGAGAATGGAATCCATCAGGTCGCATTCTGTGACGCTGGGGGGAAGCGTCGGCATCGGTATAATTCCCGATATCCCAAGTCCTACATATCATATCCCGTGAGATAAGAAAATTATTCAACCACGGGCTGCAACTCGATCCGTCGCAGGCCCGGTTCCGTGTCTGCACCAATCCTCGTTTCCCGAGTCTCTACTCGTGACAATCGTGACAGGGAATTTTCCTCATCGTCTAGGCTTCTCAAACTTCCTCCAGTCGTGACACAGGCGGAAGAAGACGGCTCTCCCACTACCATCCATCTCGGCACTAACAGCGTTCCGAGTTTCCTCTGAGAACGTGTTCAGGATGGCGTACAGACCAGGCATCAAAGCCTCCCGGACATCTGGTGTCATTCGCATTTCCAACTGTCCGCGTATGTAATCTTCCAACACGAATTTCATATACTGCGCCGAGATCCGCTTCGCCTTGTCTTTCTCAGATGTCAGAGTGCTGGAATGGCCTTGGACCGCCGAGACGGTGGGATCACTGATGGAGAGGAGGAGTCTGTTGAAGGCTTCGGCCTCTCTGGCGCCGAGCTGACGAGTTTTGGGAAGAAGCCATGTTGGACGGGGGTTAAAACGTGCTGTTTTCGCTGTGCTGTGCGGTAGGGGGTTGAACAGGCAGCGGAGGAGGGCTTGTAGTGTTTGCTGGAGGAGATGAGAGTGGCCCTTCAGCTTGATACGGTGGTGGGTGAGGATCGTGCGCACGAGGGTGCAGAGGTGTAGGTAGATGGGATAGAGATCGGGGCTCTCCGGTGAGCAGAAGATGCTGATGCTGCCCAGGGTCGCGTCGATGCTGAATTGGGAAATACTCTTCGGTTTAGTCTTGAGTATCAGCTCGAGGGTTTCGCTGATCATATAGAATTGCCGAATGTTTGTGCACTGAGGTAGAAAGGTGGCTAGAATATTGTACCCTTCAGTGAGGTCAAATGCCTCAGTGGCCTTATCGTCCTTAGGCTTCTGGGTATCTGTTTATAGTCAGTACATATTCATCACTCATGCTCCCCGTAATTCCGGGATGTACAAAAAGCCCGTTCAACCATAATTCTTGGGTCCTTAGGCACATCTTAGAAGTGGGATTTCCGGGGCTTCGGGACAAATCCTCAAATCCTCAGTCTCATTTAGTGACAAAGGACCTTACCTTCAACCGACTTGATCAACTCCCTCGCCACCAAGAGCTTATCCAATCGCTCTAAGCCCGCGTCAAGGATATCCCGCAGTATATCGAGCTTTTCTTGTTCGCTTTTTCCCGAAACGGCCGACCTCGTTCTTTCCCGAATCGGAAAGGGTCTGGCCACATCGCCTTCCAGCTGCTCTGGCCCAATTTCTTCAGAACCGTGAGCGAAAATGAAAGTAGCAAGTCGCTCCCCATAGTGGGGATCCGCATTGCTAACAAAATTCGATACTTCCAATCCTGCCAATCGCGGCTTCTCCACTCCGAGTGTGGACAGGGCATCGATGATGCTGAGGACTAGGAGGCAGTCATCCTCAGGCCACCCTTCGGACTTCTGGAGCACGTCCTCCAATCGTACGAAGATACCGTTGTTGAACGAAGTAGTGACGCTGTGAAGGTCTTCCTGGGAGATGGTATCGACGCCTTGTAAAACAGTCGCCTTTTCGCGGAAAGCGCTGAGAGCTACTTCGAAAATTGCGATGAGGGCGAAATGGAGTCGATGTTTCTTCTTCTCACTGGCTTTGGCAAGCCTCTTTCGTATGCTCTTGAAAGTGTCAGAGAGAAAGGTCTTGCTTCGAGGCTGGTCAGGATTTTGGAGAGCAGATCTGGAACAATCAATCAGTACTCGAAGCCGAATGTCACAGAAAATCAGTCAGTACTTACACAAATGTCAACCTGGCCAGCTCTTTCAGAGACGCCAAGTTATGAAGCCTTCCTGGGATACCAGACTTGGCTAGAGTCTCAGCAAATTCAATGAATTCTTGGAATCTCATGCCCTGGGAGAAATTAGCGGACTTAAACGAACAGTGAACCAACGAGTACATACCTCATAGAGCTTGGGTATACGCATAACCTTTCTCTTCAATGCAAGAACATCTTGGTGAAGAACGGTAGAGCCATAAGAAATCTGTTGGGGTTCACTGGCTTCCGATTCCTCATCCCGCGGTAGCCAACCTGACATGATTCGCCCTCTGCATTCCTTCGGAATCTCATCAATTGTCAACTCCAACAGACTACGCACGGCGAATACATCATTACCGGGACTGTTGATGAGAGGGTTTCTCAGATTTGTCTCGTGATTCAATAAAGTATTGACGAAAGTTTCTACAGACAGTTAGATGCCCGAGTCATTATTGAGATTTGTGGACTAAACTTACTGAGAAGCCCTCTATGACTGAAGACCGGATTTTCGGGATTCTGTGGAATACTGGTTCTCAAGACAGATGCTCCACCGCGTAATGAATGTCTCCAAAGATCAGGGAATGCTGTTGGGTTTCGCTGAAGCCACTTGCTAGAAGGTTTGGGGTTGTTGCCGGAGTCGCTAGCAGAAGCTATGCAGAAGATTTGCTCCAACATCTCTACAAACAGAGTTTCTTCCGATTCGAAGAACAAACTGTCTAGTTAGTGATAGATCTCGGTGCAAGGATTAGATCCACTTACACCAGTACGTCTGGGTGGTCGACAAACAAACATCGGACGAATGACCAGATTAGCCAGCCTTTACCTCTGCTCAAAGTATTCTGCTTCGAGCCACATATCTCATCTCCCAAATCCTTATTTTTCCGCAGATCATCAGTGAACCGCTTGATGTCTCGAGCCAGAGCACGGAAGAGGCCAAGCAGGACTGGCTTGTCCAATTCTTCTATCCGATTTCCGTCCTCTCTAATCCTTGCAGTCCATGCAGAGCAAGTAAACCTAAAGACTTCGAGAGCTTCAAGCTGGCCTTTTCCGGATTCATCAATGAGGCTCTTGGCTGTCGAGATCCTGGAAACGGAGTCGAAGGGTGCTACGTTCTTTTCCCAGAGCTCTGAGAGTTCTACAATATGCCTATCTTCAATCCAGCACATAGCATGTGACAAGATCCTCCAGGACCGGAAACCGTATCGATGTACGAGTCCAGATTCCACGCCACTGTTCCATATGATGTGATGCAATTGAGATAGGACTTGATCCACCCATCGCTCCTCTCCGTCAATTGCTCCAGCGATGGCCTCCAATATAACAACCGCCGCATTTGGGTGGGCTTTCATTTCCAGCCCCTCAAGAACAGTCAACAACTGCTTGGGCTCCATATGGACCTGTAGAAGAGTCCCAAATTCAGCGAGGAGGTTCTCGTCCTCCCAAGCTCCAAAACCAACCCCAATGTCTCCATGAAGTTGGTGGCTTTGAACAAGTTGCGAGAACCAATGTCGGATGAAGCCCGAGAGATCTCTGGCCTTGGCGAAAGATCGAATCACCGGTATCAAAATCGTCGAAACGATCTTCTCCCGATTATCCGGCCAGACCTGGGAATTTGAGATCTCTGTGATTCCCTCGAGCAGGTTATCCAGCAATGGCGTATCCTTGCCGTCTGTTGGTACCAGGAACACATTTGCATCTAGCTCAATCAGCGTAGCCAAGATGTCCCAATCGGTTTTGGTGACTTCTGCGATAGACCTCAAAACTGCAACGTCCAAGCCTAGCTTGTGATCGATTGCCAGCCTCAGCATCGCACGAATCTGTTTCCCATTGTCCCCAGCGGCCTGAGACATCGTCTCTTTTAGCGAGGCGAAGAAAGACTGTAGAAACACTTGATCTTGGGCTTTTCGTCTTCTTGCAGATCCAGTTGGCCGTATAGACCGAGTAGCCACCTCGAGTAGTAACGGTGCATTATCGAAGTTCTGGAGCACAGGAGCTTTTGTCAACATTTCCAGCAGCTCTGGATTCCCTTTCGCTGGCACCACAATATTCTGTGCTATGAGCTTTTCCAATTGTCCGATCCAGGAGGGTAAATCGGTGTCGGGTGATCCACTCTTCAACGCTCCAAGTAGGAGTAACAGCGGCTGGGTGGCATAGAGAGAAAACTGTAGATGAGGACTCTCGTCTAAAGTATGCAAGTTCCAGACCTCAATGAACGGCGTGAGCCAGGATCCCGAAGAAACAAGGTCTTTCGGAAGTGGTAGAGCTCTGCTGCAGAGGGATAGCCACAAGCCCAGTACCGTAGCTGCTTCCTCAGCCGAAGTTCTGAGCACCGTCTTCATATACTCTGCCGAGAACTCGGTGCTTCTTTCCTCTCCAATCGGCTTCGTGTACTGCACCACGATATTCAATGCTGAGAATATGGCATCCAGTAAGGCCGGGAGCCCGTTGCTCTCTTGGTTGCCGGGCTTGGTGACCAAGTCCCCATTCCTTCTCCGTTTCTTGGACACCTTCACAGTCCCCTGCTCCGTTGCACTCGAATCCGATGCCGAATGCGACATCATAACACTGCCTCCAGCCTTTTTTGCATCCTCCAACGTCCGTCGGATGATTGCTATGAGTTGTCGCTCAACAAGAATCCCAGCTGCAGTCGGCAGAGGAACGCTCCGTACTAGATACTGGAGCAATCTCCACGATGAAGGAGTTGTCCTGCTGTTCATGAGTATCAACTTCCTGAAAGAAATGTCTTGCATACCTTGGGACATCGTCCTTGGGGGCTTGTAGTCTCTTCAGTAACCATCTGAGCAGCCATTCCTCTCTCCCGTGGTATGCGACGGATTTCCGGTCCTCCGCTCCTTCTTCTCCACCATTCCTACATTTCTGAATAGTATCCAAACCGACTCCAATAAATTTCGCTGCTTCGACAAGTTGGTCCCCGAATGGGGCTGCTTGCTTTTCCAGCAGAGCGAGCTGCTCTTGCGCGGCGCGAGATGTAGACGTCTGAGAAATTCGCATTAGCCTCGCTCACGACCAACATATGAAATAGACAGAGAACCGGACTTACCATTTTCCCATCCAATATATGCCAATCAATCGCATCTGGCCGCATTCTACCGCGGGCAACTTTTTTTATTTTTTTTTAGAAAGGTGGAGCGGCAGAATTACGGAAGCTAAGTCTCATGCAGCAGCAGCCCTCACCGCATGCCGAATCCGAAACCGGGTAGGAGCTCACCATGAGGATCCGGCAACACAGCTTCACCCACCCGACAATCTCAGCTCAAGATAAACTCGCTGTAAGTCCTCAATCTTGAATGTGACGGTGGAGACACTCGCTGAGGATTGAATAGGATCGTACCACCATGCCTGAGACGTCAATCCCTCCTCCCGCGGCCGTTGCGCGCCCCAGCAAGCCTGTTTCCGAGAGTCTTCTGAACGAGAAGGTGTGTCTGGATTCTTCTCTCGAGCCATTCTCCGCCTTGAAAATCGGGACTGGGACTTGGAAGTCGAAAAGGAGCTAACGTTCACGCAGTGGGATCGCTGTCTCTCCTCCCTCCTCATCCGCTCGTCCCTTGGTCTCTCCTTCGGAGTCGTCTTTTCCGTCCTCCTGTTCAAGCGGAGAGTGTGGCCCGCGTTCGTCGGTCTGGGTTTCGGTGCTGGGCGCGCGTACGAGGAGTGTAATGGAAGCTTTTTAAGGGGTGGGAAGGAGGGCGTCAGGGTTCAGCGACCTTGAGAGATGCAATGGAACGAACGGACCGGAGGGGAAAGGGTTGATGAGGAACTGGATTGATACCGAGGGTCGGGGCTTACGCGGTGCTGGGGGAGAGGGAAGATTTGAGATGCATAGATTGTACAAAAGCTCGGGAAGGAAAGGGATAATACACCTATATGGTTTTCACAAGCCCCCTTCTTCCTCTCTGCAATCCGGACTTGTTTTCACATAAATTTCTGGTTTGTTTTGTGTTCTGTCACCAAAGACCAAGAAGCTCACTTCTGAAGCTCTGCCGCCTGTAATCCAAGGACCCCCTAGATTATTCGTTCCCTGGGACTCGATCCAACGCCGCCAACCAAGAGCAGAGGCCAGGTAAAACACGAAGTTCTCTGCAAGGCATCTTACTTCGACCATATCTCTCTCTCGATCTCCGGCTGGCGAACACGACGTAGACGAAGCCAGTTCTCATTATCCAGACAGCTTTTCCAGTGTTCTGATATCATTATCTGATCACAGCAGCCACAGACCTATTTCACATCACATCGCCCCGGTCTTCATTCATTCCATGACATCACGCTGGCTGGCTTGGTTATGTGTTTTCTACTCGATGACGTTGGTTGCTTTTCGTGTGCGTGACGAGCGGGCACGGGAGGCTGAGGCTGAGGCTGAGGCTGAGGCTGAAATCGTATGAAAGTGCTGAACAGGGTGGGGTGGGAGGGGGAAGGGGGGAGGGGAGGGGAGGGGAGGGGGGCGATTGCTCGCGAGATGAGATGGGGGAATAAGTAGGCGCAAGCTCTCTCAGGAATATCGGATCGGATCTGGTATGGATGGGGCTCGTCAGGCGACCCTGGAGCAGTTCTTCGAGTAGAGATACTCTGTGCTCGTGGGAGAGTCGCGAAATATGTGCGAGTGGAGAGATATCAATGAAGGCGTCGGCGGACGGACGAGGACGAGATAATCTTGTTTTCCAATGTATGTATATATATATATATATATATATATACATCAAGCGCTATATCAACCTCCCGTGCGTTCAGTTCAGTCTTTCTCGAGACAGGAATTTCGAAATGAAAGTAGTAAGTGGAATTGAAAAGATCAGAACATTCTGTACTTCAGATACATAACTCTTCGTTCAGTGGGGTTGCGAATCGATCCTCGCATCACCTATTCCCCAAGCGGAAGGAACGGCCCCCCGACAAGCTAACACCACCAACATCGTAATTCCTATCCGCACCAACAACCTAGCCACCCACCCTTTCGCAAACGCCTATCTCTGAGCTCAATCTCCGTAGCTGGGACAGGTCCTCTTGTCTACAATCCTTACATCCCCACCATCATCACGATCCACCCCCCCACCCCCGAGTCACACAAACATATCCATCAAGTCATTAAGGTACTCCACAACCTCCACATCCCTCCTCAGCACCTCCCTACTCTTCTTCCCGAAGCAGCCCGTGTCGGCATAGCAGCTCATCTGCTGCTCGATGAAACTGAGATGCTGGGAGTTCTGCTTCTCGTCTTAGCCACTCATTCACTCATTCATTCCCTTTTCAGCCCACGTCTTCTCGCTCTCCTCGCTCAGATGGCCGAAAAGCGGTAGCTGAGAAGTAGGTGAGGTGAGGGGGGGGTTGTAGGCAGATGGGAAAAGAGTGAAGGGGAAAGAGAGAAAAGGAAGAGGGTACGTCACAGGTTTCCGACTCGCCCAGAGCGCCTGCATCCAGCTGACACCCTCATAAACACCACTCTCCGTGCCCCAGCCCCAGAGCTGTTGTCTCTCCTGTACGGCGTACAGGAACTTGACCGTGGAGGACAGGAAGGCGTGGTATTCGCCCTTGACGGTGGTGCAGTCTAGATGATGGGTCTGCGTGTGCGTGTAGCCGTTAGCTAGCTAGCCATTGAAAAGGTTCGGACGAATAAAAATTGGATAGGGAAATGCGAAGGGGGGGGGGGGAAGACGTACCAGGGAGTCTGATGTTGTAGAAGGTTGAGATATCATCGTGGAGAGAGGTTTCTCAAGCTCGACGAGGATATCCGAACACAGGGTTCTGAGGGCGGTTGATACTGCCTGTAGGCGCGCCATCATCAGCCCTGAAATCTTCAGATAAATTACGGACAGCATCGTCCGCATTTTCAGTAGCGACAGTGAAACGTAGCAAGCAATATAGATGTAGTTAGGGAGGTCGCCGCGATTCTGGGAACACCACAGTGTGACCAGACAACGCAAGACATCTCCCCTCTTCCATCTCGACACTGAGCCTCTTCCTCTTCCCTTGAGTTTTGTGCCCTAATACAATATATACCTGGGGACTGGGGATAGTAAACACATCCTCCATCCTCAGACACCAGCTCCAAAAACTCAAATCGGCTCCTCACAAGCCCTGGAGTTCAGTCTCTCCTCCCCGTCTCCCAGCCTTCTCCAAACTCCAAACTCCAAACGTCAAACGTCAAACTCCAAATCTCAACCTCAGCAACAAACACAGCAAAGAAAATAGCTAAAATAGCCAAACAAAAACAGCCTACACAGAGAAAACCCCTCCCCCTCCAAGCCCAAAAACGTCCAAAAAAAAAAAAAAAAAAAAAACAACACACACACACACAAAAAAGGGAGTTCAAAAACCCACCTCCTCAACCATCTTCCCCCTACCCCCTCCCAGAACCACCTGCCCTGCATCTCCAACACCACCCCCCTCCCCGTCTCCCACCCCATCCCTAACCCCCACCCCCTTTCCAACTCCCACTCCCCCATCCCCATCCCCATCCCCCTCCCCCTCCCCCTCCCCCCTCCCCCCCCGCTCAACCACCCGCCTACACCCCTCCGTCCGCGCCGTCAACGCCCTTACCGCATCAAGCGTCACGAGCGCGCTCGACAAGAGGAAGAGGGACGAGAGCGAGAAGAAGAGGAGGAAGACCGTACGCGTGCGCGTGCGCATCGCGTGCGTGCGTGCGTGCTTGATTGAGCGGACTGGCTGGCTGGCTGGCTAGCTGGCTGGCTAGCGAGACAGATAGATAGACAGCTAGACAGACAGACGGACAGATAGCTAGCGAGACAGACAGACAGATAGATAGCTAGCGAGCCAGGTAAGTAAGCAAGCAAGCAGGCAGGCAAGCAAGCACCTAGATAAAGTAGAGGTATGGATCCTGCTCAGGACACTGATGTCGAAGTCGAAGTCGAAGTAAAAGTCGAAGTCGAAGTCAAGGCTGAGGTAGATGTTGATGATCGATGATCGATCCTCAGAGGAAGGGAAGGGAGGTGCTGCTGCTGTGCTTTTCTTTGCTGTACTTCTCGTCCGTCGCGCTTTGATTGATTGACGGGGTGTCGGTTGTTGAGGCGATGGAGGGAATTGATTGTTTGTTTTTGTTCGAGAGAAGCTGCACTTGGCCATGGGGTTTTGTTCGGTGGGACTGGTGGGTGGACGTGAGGTTGACACAGCTCGAGGTGTGACGGGCGGACAGCGGACGATCACCACTTACGAAGTATTACATCACATACCTATGGTATCTAGATATGCGGCTGATATCCTCTCCATTCTCAACACTACGAAGCTGTTTACTGTTCACGACACACTGATTTTCACGTCACATCAAGTCAATCATGAGAGCACAAGCATCGTGTAATTTGCTGTATTTCTACCCGTCAGAGTGAGCTCTATGCCGTGGACTAGATCCCAACGACGTACTGCTCAGCAACAGGTGGCAACGCACCCAACCAATACGCGGAGATGCCCTCCGCCATTCTCATCTTTGCACGTTCATCTCGCCATGATTTGCCTGTAGACCAATCTCCTACTCGCTCTCATCTTACACTCACATGTATCCCGTCCACGAGAAGCATCCGCACCATAGTTTCTCCCGCCACACGCCCCCACCACCAAAGAAGAAAGAAGGCCATCGCTGAAAACCGCTACAGCATAATGGGAGGCCCTATCGTTCGTCCGCATTAAAAAGAAGTATAGTCAATAACAGAGAAAGACAGGAGGGTACTCAGAAGAATGTGGACGCAAAAAAAACGACCGGGAAACCAGTATCGTAGTGGAAGGAGCAAATAGGCACACGGAAGAAGAGAAAAACGCAAGAACATCTAGCAATCGCTGCAAGAGTATCTGCCCTGCTCGATATCGTGGTATCCAGTCCGGCGGAAGGCGGCCAAAATGCGATATGAGGCGTGGGCATGAGTCTGAGTATTGAGCGCAAGCCAGGTGTTTGTGGTATATTACTAGGCCGCCTAGTTTTGTGGTATCAACGCCGTGTACCCCGATGGAGAAAGTCCGCCAGCATTGAAGGTATCTAAATGAGGCCGCAAAGACGGAGGTTCTCCTGAATGATGATATCTGGGAGATAAACGGTCAGCATGTACTGTATGTACTTCGCGAGGAAGAGGCAGGGACTCACCATTGACGGCTGCCATGACGAAGCGGATCTGGGTAGTATCGGTGGCACAGGTGAAGTGGGTGTAGATTTGCTTCGTCTCATGTTGGTTGAGACTGACAAATCTGTTCAGAATGTAGTCACAAGCCGAGTTGTAATCATTGCCGCCCTCATAGTCGGGAAAGTAGTTCTTCATTGGGCTCAGGGGGAGCTTCTCCTTGAAACGATCGATCTTGTTCAAGAACAGGATGATAGAAGTTTTGATGAACCAACGGGAGTTGCAGATCGAGTCGAAGAGGGTGAGAGCTTCTTGCATGCGGTTGACCGTCTCGTCCTCGAAGAGCAGTTGGTCGTACTCAGATATGGCAACCAGGAACAGGATGGTGGTGACGTTCTCGAAGCAGTGGATCCACTTCTTCCGCTCTGATCGTTGACCTCCGACGTCGAACATTCTGTAGGTCAGGTCTCCAATGATGAAGGTTGTCTCGGTGATACCGGTGGTCTTGACACGCGAGCGGAGGACATCCTGATCGTTGGGCATGTAGTCGGGGAGGGAGATGCGTTCAATGTTGTCGAAGTAGCTGCGGAATCCAGGTCAGCATCGGAAGGCGCTCTATTACAGATCCAAATTGCGACGATGTATAGCGATCAAAAGCTACCCAAGGGTCGTGGAGAGAGCAATTGAAACTCGGGATGAAGAGAAAAGCAACTTACTACTTGGCAGAATCGTTCAACTGATACTCTCTTGATCGCTTGAAGCAGTCTTGAACACCGGCATCCTTCCACAACGCGCCAATGGCAGCGCCAACCTCAGGGGGAAGGTTGTCACCCTCAATCTGTTGTGGTTGCATGAAGATGGTCTGGACGTGGTACTCGGCGCGCTGGTCATCCAGGGGAAGCTCCAACGACTCCATGGCCTCCAAGATCACGCGCATGGATTGGACGGTATTGCTGAAGATGATCTCCTTGAACGACTCCCGCTCGTCGCGCGAGTAGCCTCCCTCGTGAATCAACTTCATCTGCTTCAGAATCGTAGATTTTCCGGACTCTCCAGCGCCTGTGAAGCTGTCAGCAAGTGTGGCATGTGGCATGTGGCAGATCGGAAGTGCTGACCCAGCAAAAGCATCTTGATCTCGTTTCTTTGCAGCATCTTGTCCCGCTTCAGCTGGTTCTCAATCTCCTCGTTCCTCGCCTTCCCCTCCTTCTCCTCGGTGCTCATTCCACAACCCATTGTAGCTGGTCCCGATTCTGAATGGCGGTATTGTGATGATAATTAGTGAATGACTCGTCGGAGTTGGTCGGCGTGCCGTAGAGAGATGCGGTCTAAAGGAGCGTGTATCAGCGGCAGCTTCACCTGTAAGAACAATAAAGCATGCAAGAACAATCAAACAGAAGCTACCGATCAAAGCAGGACGCGCGGAAGCTCTTGGTCGGTGATTTCTTTTTTCTTTTGCGATGGATTGGATGCAATGCAATTTGCGCCCGGCGGACCAACGCTGACGGGTATAGAGTTTGACAGAAGTTTCGCAGTTTCATAGCTCCGAAACCGAAGCTTGGAGGGATGATTTGAGAGCTCGGCAGAAGGTCCCAGGAGTGTCAATACAAGGACGAACGTACGTACCTTTTCTTTTTCTTTCGAGACGCGTGAGGAGCGGGGGGGGGGGGGGGGGGGAGGGGCACAATCACTAGACGACGACAATTTGGAACGAAATTGTGTGGGAGGTTGAGGAACGATGTCGTCGAGCTTGTGCTGTGGGGTGTGTTTTGTTGCCGAGCAGAAGCGTGGGGAGGGAGTTGGACGAGACGGGTCGACACGAGACGAGATTGGGCGTTCGTTCGGAATCGAGCCAGGAAAGGGAAGGGGAAGGGGAAGGGGAAGGGGCAGAGTGGTCGAGTGGTCGAGTGGTCGAGTGGCCGAGTGGCCGAGTGGCCGAAAGTGTGATTTCGGAGGTTGGGATCTTGCTTAGCGCCTTGGCGGGTTGACAGTCGAGAGTACGGTAGGTAGCCGACCAGGGAAGGCCTCGGCTAGGGATTGGATTGTGTACTCTGTACAGACCAGACCCGGTCGTAGGGAGTAGAGAGTAGAGAGGTACGGTAGGTCAATGTGCCGTGCAGCAGGAGGTAGGTCTTAATCAATCTGACCTTCAATCAAGTCGTCAATAAACGGATTCGCGGTACACCAGGATGATATCACAACACTCTGAAGCTGAAAAAGATGCGACGATGCGATGATGCAAAAATACCAAAATGCAAAGATGCGAAGCTGCCGACTCGGAACTCTCGACGGCATTGGTAACGAGCCCTCTCTATAGCCCAAGTGGAGATCAAATGACAAAGAAACTGCCGGTGTCGGTCTGATCTGGGCCGTGGCGCGGGAGGGCTGGTGCTGTCCAGGTAGGTACTACTAGGGTCATCCTGAGCATCGAGTATTGACTGACAGGTTGCGAGACATTCTCTCCAAGTCGGATTGAACGACGGGAACCGTGAACGCTCCCTACCGTACCTACTCCAGTGCCCTGCTGCTCCCTACGGATCGAGCACCACCCCAGCGTAAGATACCTATGGTCTGCATGTTCCAATCGCTGATCTGTGCAGCAATCGAGTTCATTTCTAAGAATAACTGCTGCCATCATACGGCCAGGTCCACAGCCATATCGTAAGTATCTACAGTACCGTAGAACTCTGTAAATACAACGGTTCGGCAAGGTACCCGTACATATCAGAGAACTCAGCGCTATTGCGGTTTCCGTCATCTTGTCACTCGTCACTCGTCACTCGTCATCGTCAGCACCGGCGCTCGAGCCTCCTTTCTCTTGTTGCGTTTGAGTTTGGTGATTCGGAGCTGCAGAATCACATCCAATGGCAATGGTATACCCACCACCAATGACCTCTGTCAACAATCTATCATCCGCAAGCGACTCGGCTAGCCAACAACCCCAAGCTTAAGCTCAAGCTTAACCCTCTCCTCTCCTCTCCTCTCCTCTCCTCTCCTCTCCTCTCCTCTCCTCTCCTCTCCTCTCAATTCCTCTCATCTCCTCTCCCCTCATCTCGTCTCCCCTCGTCTCGTCTCGGTCGTCTCGTTTCCTCTCTTCTCTCCTCCCTTCGCTTCCAGAAAAGCGAGAATGGAATGAATGAGGTTTCACAACTCGAAATGTCTCTTATCACCCCTCTCCTCCTAAGTACATCGGCCATTTTTTATCTTTATCACAACGTCACAGAATCCCAGCTCCCCTCCTCCCCCCCTCAAGCCCGCCTCCGCCTTCAATCAATCATGACCCATGTTCCGATAAGGGGGTCCCTCCGCACAACCCACCTACCTCCTTCTCATTTCATTCCAGAACAAAGCTCCTCCCCTCTCCCCTTCCAATTCCACTTCCTTTGTTCGGTGGTGCGCGCGTGGCAGAAGAGAAGAAGGGAAGAGAAAAGAAGAGAAAAGAAAAAAAAAAGAAAAAAAAGGAAACGAATCGAAAGGCCGAAGGATTGGAAATTCTCCTTCGCGATTGACGGCGTTTGTGAGACACGCTTACAAAGATAGATCTGCTCTCGCGAGTTCTGCCGTTTAGGGTGGTAGCTCTGGTGGGGGAAGCGATGCAGTGGAAGCGAGGATGCTGTGCTGTCGCAATCAAATACGACTACGGACATTGGTGTTGGCAGTGCCTGGCAGTGCCACACGGGTGCCAGAGAACTGCTTTGGACGGCTCCGTACGTGAGAGGGCTGGGCGGCGCGGGGTGATCGAGCCGCTGCGCCACAGCTATTGATATTCGCGGCTTGGGAAATCATGGTCAGGTGGCACGCACGTGACCATATCTCTATTTACTTTCCAGCACCGCATGCGGAGCAGGGGCAGAGTTCCCGAGACTCCCAACCAGCACCTTTCCAAGCAACATATTAATCAAGCAATTTCGCGAAGCACTTTCTCCAACTCAACCACAACGTAGTTGTATATAGAAGAAGCCCCCCCCCTTTGATATTGAGAATTTCCGAGATGGCTGGGTCCTTGCTTACTGCTTGCTGCTTGGCTTCTATCCATTTCTCGGCGTCGCTCGTCACTTCCCGAGTTGAGGACATCTCCAGCATACGGATAGGATAGACTGGTGACGAAACCCAAAATTCCAGTGATCAGGGAGATGACCTCCTCTTGCAAAGCTCCTTCCTTCGCCTTCGGCACGTTCTCTTCTTCAAAGATGCAGATTGCAGTGGAAGCCAGACGGGAATCTGGTCTGGCAATGCCATCCAACGAACCTAAACATCACTATCATTAACGACGCTACCTACAATTGTATCCTTACGAGCAGAGAAAATACTTGCCGTCTTGCACCTCCCGTTCGCTTAGCAGCAACCGAACCACAGCTCCCTCACATTGAGAGGTACCGACCGACCAGAGCAGTGCAAGTCCACCCAGCGTCTGTCATGTCCGTCCACTACCGCCACATCCAACGAATCCAGCTCGCCGACAACTACCACCCACACCCCAACAGCCCTTCACAGCTCAAAACCCGAGCATTCCGCTCCCGAATCCACCGCCATCATCCCGCCCTCGCTAACACCGATACGGTACCCGACTACAACAACAATCCCTCCATCCAGACCACCAACCACAGCAACAGCCACCCTCTCGCCTCCTTCGAGCTCGTCATCCTCCTCCTCGCCCTCAGCATCCTCGTCGCTCTCGTATGCTGGCTCCTCTGGCTCATGCTCGAGTACTGCCTCGCCTTCGCGCGGGAGCAGCTGAATGACCTGGCCGTCGGGCGGCGGGCGCGTCAGGATCGCTACCGCGGAGAGCAGGCCCGTCCTGGCAAGCGGTTCAGTTTGTCCGAGAGCATGGAGAAGATGGGGCTGGGTAACGTGGCGGAGATCGCGGGCGCGATTTTTGGGAGCGGGGAGGGTGGGAACTCGAAGAAGCTGTTGGACGACAGGGGCGCAGGTGGGTATAGTGAGTATGGGTATCGTGGGGGCGTGGTTCACCCTTCGAATCATGCTGGGGGCGAGGAGAGACCGACGTATTCGACGGATGCCACCAGTGAGAGTAGCGGGTGTGCTGGGCCGATGCACGGGCATCGGGAGGAGTGTGTTGGGGAGTGTACGTTGCAGACTAGACGACGGAGTCGTGAGTCGTGATTCGTGAGAGTTTTTTACTGGAGGTCTGGGGAACGCTGGTCAAGTGAACAGAAGAGAATGATAGATCTCGATTGAGGGAGGTGCGGGAGAAAATTGATCATGGCAGCACTTGTACCTTCATCAATCGAAGTCGGAATTCTCCCTTGGATTCTTCCCATTCGCTTATCCTGTTCAGTTCCTTGACCATGAGCTAGCCCCGCGGGCCATCGAACAGCCTGGCAATCGCCGCTCCTGGCTTCATCTACATCTCGCCCGCCGGCAGGCGACGAGTACCCCACCAAGGACGGATGGACGGGCTCTCGCCTCCCCGCCCTCCGTAGTATCTTGATCGTATCTATCGACGGCCGCCGGTCCGCGCCGTGGTGAGCGAGCGAGTGAGTGAGTGAGTGTAGATATAGAGATATCAGCCTATGCTGGCAAAGCCACGCATGCATATATTTCTTCTCTTCTCTCACGGAGTATATGTATGTATGGATGTATGTATGGATGTATGTATGTATGTGTGTGTGTGTGTGTGTGTGTGTGTGTGTGTGTGTGTGTGTAGTATGTACGAAGGCGTTTAGAGGTGTTGGAGGTATCGTGTCGTGGTAGATGAGGTAGATGAGGTAGTTAAGGTGGTTAAGGTAGAAATCATCTCGCAAAATCCAAGATCCAAGCAGCTGCGGACAAGGAGATTAGAGAGGCGAGTTATTTTTGGGATCGGGGGGTCGGGGGGGGGGGGGGGGGGGAG